TCCTTCACCAGATTGGTTTTGAAAATCAATTTTTTCTCATTTTCATCTTTCTTTCTATTGTTTTTCTCTATTTTGATTCGGACCACTACTTGATCCAAAGTAGTGTCCTTTCTCTTGTGCTTCATATTTATTTTGAAATTATTCCATGCATGCAGTAATTTCTCTATGAGAGAACCAACAATAAATTCGTCTAGAAGTACTGTGCCTTCCTTTGCTTGTTCCCTACAAGCACCTAGAACTCATTTATTTGGGAAAACATATCCATGTCTTCTTTCTTGGTAAAATACAAGAAATTGGCAATCACATATATTTTTTTTTTTCATTTCTAGTATTTTCCATGGCATATTTGTTGTCCAAAGCATTCTAAATTTCATAGGCAAAATTGTACAATGAGTAAACATTGTATAGTTCATTGGATAGGCAATTCAAGATGTGGTCCTAGAAGAGGCGGTTAGCCATGACCCAATATTCTACAACAACAAAACATGTTGGTTCCTCCATGTTTAGTGGGTTTGGTTCAGTCAAAGCAGAGGCTACCCCTAACTGTTCTAAGGCAAACAGAAGGTGTTGTCTCCAACACTTGTAGTTGGTTCCATTAAAAGGTCCAATCTTTGATAAATCGGGAACTGTTGAGAGTATCTGGTTTCTCATGATGGGGTTAGCGGAGATAGGTTCCATAAATGTGGTTTTAAGATTGTTGGAAAATAATAATAAATAGGATAGAATGGAACTTATCGGTGAATGTTTTCCAAACCAAACTTTAGTAGTGTTGCAGAACTGTGAAGAGGAGATTGAGAATTGCAAAGAAAGGGAGGGATTATTCGTGCTAGTTGGTCACTCTCCTTAAAATCGCACTTGCCCCTACGGTGTAGCTGGGTGATTGCAAATCAGTTGCCAAGATAAAACAACCCACATGCCACTAGTAAACATACACTCACTTACTAAACCTCCATGAACCACAAAAGAGAATGCTCAGGAAAGAAGATAGACTGAGAAATGCGAATTTGTTGGTGTGTAACACACGGGTCGACCACCACTCTATTTATAGTGTTCTCAGTCACCCGAATGGACACAGATGTGTCATTTCAGAGAGAACTGTCTCACAGAGACACAAAACAAATAAGTAGAAGAACTTTGCTCGGTGCGTGTTTTAAACAGAACTTTGAAATTCAAAAGTCAAACAATTTAAAGTGGTCAAAGGCAAAAACATTTCAATGTAGCGTGTGTATACCTACACACGCAACCGCGCCCCATCTTGGCTCGGTGCGCGCATGTGTGAAAAGAACCCCTAACCCCCCTCACATGCATGTAGAGATATATATTGCTCTCCTTCTATGGGTCCCTACCCATAGGAAGAGCAACCCTACTAATATACTCCAAGCCAACTCTTTCCCCAAACAATGTGGGACAAGAGTCTCCTACATGCAAGAGGACGGAAAGAAAGAAAAGACAAAACCAAAACAAAAAGGAGGAGAGGAGATTCTTGAAATTTTGAATCTCCCTCCAACATGTTTTCATTGGTCAAAGTCCTTCTATTATCATGTCTTTCAGACAACATAGATTTTTCTGTAATTTTTTATGATTGTGAATTTAAATTTATATTTATTTTTTAAACTTAGTTTTATTAGCTTACTTGCAGGCAAGCCCAAATGTCTAATCAACCCAAGTCAGACATATATTAGAGTTTGAATCTAATCCTAACAACCATTGCAATTATACAACAAGAACATCTCATCGTGAAGGACAGGAGAGATGTTCCTTGTTTGTCCAAGGGAGCCTCCTCCAATAAAAACTGTTCCAACATGATCTCTATTTGCACATCTCACAGTAAGACTAGGACCCACTAAATATGAGATGTGTGGGCATAGATCATGTTGGAATGCATTGGATTTTTTTTTGTTGGGAGGAGATTCAGACTCAAAGGTGTAGGCCAGGCCAGGCTTGGGCAGATAAAAAATGTTCTTACTACTATGTAAAACCCAGCCCATGAACATCTTAGGTGGTGGTAGTGGTAGTTAGTTGCAAGGATTAAAATTATGCCCAATATGTCACCATATTAGTGTGTATCATGACTCCGGTCGGATCTCCTACCCACGACAACTCTGCCCATGCATAACACCATGTAAGGGCGTGAAATGTTCTTCATGTATGGTTGTGATCTCATGTGGGTAGAGCTGTCGTGGTAGGAGACGGACTCGTGTATCATACGGTATCGGCCAATATGGTCCGATATGCACCAATACAAAGCATATCAAACCCCATTTTGACAACAAGTGTGGATTGAGTTACTCACTATAAAAAAGGCACCTAGCATGATTTGGACTTAGGAATCCAAGTCACCTACCGCCTAAGAGTATATCCATCCTTAACCATTGAGCTACCCTTTATTTTATGATAATAAATGAAATAAATTAACTTTTATTAACATTAATATCGACATACAATTCAAACAAACAACATATACTTATCTTCAAAAACTCCAATTACAAATTAAAAAAAAAATCATATTCAAAATTAGTATTTTATAAACTAATAGAATAAATGATCTATCAAATCCATATTTTTATCAGAAAATGAATTTTAATTTCAAGAAATTTATACAAATAAAAATAGTAATAATAGGTTAATTATTTTATTACTTAAAACTCATAAATTTGCACATGATATGCATCTTAAAATTTTTATAAAGTATTAATTAATATTTAAATTTGCATTAAATAACAATGTGTTTATTATTTACAAAATATTTGAGAATATAATATAAATTGAATCTATCAAATCCACTAACCTACATATATATCAAAAGACTATTTTTTATTTTAAAATTTTATAAAAAAAAATATTAATAATGGAATATTTATTTTAGTAATTAAAATTTATGAGTTTTCATATGATATGTATCTTCAAGACTTTAATAGATTATTAGTTGATATTTTGATTTACATTTTATAATAACATATTTATTATTTACAAAAATAAAAATATTGTTTATCATACATTCGAGAAATAATTTTTTAGTTAACTTTTTTGTTAATGTTAAAAATTATAAATAGAAAAATAGAAAAAAATGATATAATAAGTCAAATATAATAGTTGCATATGTTTTCTACCTTAGAACTTAATAGAAAATAAAATTATAATGGCTTTGTGCATGTATGAATTTATAAAAGTCTATATATAACATGTGTCTTCGACTCTTAATTGATGCATTACAATAAAATTGCATAATATATATGCATCTCACTATATTATTGTAATATATTTCTTCATATATATTTTCAAAGTGTATCTAAGTATTTTCATATTTTCATCCGTATCCATACATTTTCAAAGTGTATCCTTCTATCCATCCTTTGTTCATCACCGTCTCCCACACATTCAACTCCAATGACCCTTTCTCCTTTTCTTCGATTCTTCCATCCTTAAATCCCTGCGTTATGTCACCAATGCAGATTATGACAATGACTGTGTGAGTGTCCATTGATCACTTGATACGAGAAATAGATCATTTAATTTGGACAAAAACTCGAGTAGTCTAAGTCTCTAAGCAAATGCTGTTCATAGATGGGCTTTTGTGGAAGTTTGGGGAGTTGATGTATTGTTACCGTCTTACTGGATGGGTAACGTTGGTTTGCGAAGTGTGGTCACACTCGTTTTTGATAAAAAGGAAATTTGCTTAAAGGGAAATACAAACAACAAATCAAAGCACCAAAAGACACACTCAGACAAGAACAAAAAATACGAACTTGCAAGTAAAAAAAACAATACCGACTCAACTCTCCAAATCAAGGTTTTCAAAACCAACCTGGAATCAGAACCGTTTTGCCACCGATTTCCGGGTTGACAGTTCAACCATTCAGTTCAAATGGATTGCCCATTTCAATTAAAAAATAACTAAAATAAAAACAGCCAAAACCATTGAACAGATCAAACAAGTCAATGGTTTAACTACACAGGTCAATGAATCACTGACCAATTCAAATGTTTTTGGTCAAAAACTAGATTTGGAGTAAAACAGAACCAGTTGCCTGAATGGTTTCCAACCCGAATGATCTAACCATCCGGGTCAACCGCGTTCAAAAACACTGCTCCTCACACCTCACTTCTTCGTCTCCTACTACTTACTAAGCTATAAACTCAAACTGAACTGCAACTTTACAATCGACAAGGACATTTTCCAACAGATCTGGTGGCCGAGACCGCCAACAGCCATTACAATCAAAACCACGCGCAGCTAGAAAGTAAGCAACCCCATTACAAGAGCGAGAAATAATAGACACATTTAAGACTTTAATCCATCCTAACGCCGGACATCTCCATCTATTTTCACCTTCAGTTTCTGGGGGTGGAAGGTTCAGCATTTGAGGGGCTGAACATTCCTGCCGCAAAGCACTCAAGTTGGGGCTAGCATCATTAAAAAAATGATTAAATCATTTTTTTTTCGAGCTAACCAAATTAAACAAGGAGATAAAGCAAAATACATAAGGGACAGAATGAACAGCAAACAGAGAATCAACCACATAAATAAACCAATTATTAATGTTCTATTAAGAGGGAATATTAAGAATACCAAAAAAAAATGTAAGAGGGATTATTAATAAAATTACCACCAACTTGCTGCTAATGCAATACAAGTATACAACAGTGAACAGACTTCTGAAGCATGGATCAAAACTCGCTACTTTTGACGTGGCAAGTTTCAAATGGGATTTAAAGTGAACTCGCCGGGATTTTCCGCGATTCTAGATGCAGACACCAACCCTTCTTAATTTTGGATCGAAACACGTTCTTCAAAAGCAAATTTGGTGACTTAAAATGGGTTTGGTGGGGGTAGGCAGTAATTATACTAATTAGTAATTACACTAAGCAAAAACATAGGCTGCGTTTGGTAATAATAACTTACATATATACAACTTTTGAAAACGCTCCAAGCCTCCCACCAAATAAATCGTGAAGAAAGCACAGAAAAACAAAGCACTAATACTCTATTTGTATCCATATAGGAAAGGAAAATTTTTCATTCCAAAATATTTCAACTATATTTGGATCGTAGTTCATGAATATATTCCTATGCATGAAACAGACGGTACTAGTCCTATGAGTGACCTTCCAAAATGGATTAAATTTGGCTAGACGTCTTTGTCAAAGGAATACATGTGAATAATAAGGCACAACACAATAAAAAAAGGAACGCTCATAAGATAGTCTATCATAGACGCTAATAACCTAATACATCAATTTGGGATAAATATTTACAAAAGACTGGTATAGAATGACTCAAGAATGTTGACGTAGGTCTTCATGCTCGGACTGAGTGTTGGTATCTCCCCAGTTTCCATTAGCAGCATTCTCTGTCATTGTGGCAAAACTCCAAATAGAAACACAGTTCTCATCACCTATCAGAAAGCAGGATGAAGTGAATTACAAAGAGGTTGTAATTAGATACCAAGTATCTTAAGGAAAAAAAAAAAAACCAAAAAACCTGTAAAGTAACAGGGGTGTTGTGCATGTAAAGATACAAAAAGAATCTGCAAACTGCTATTGATGTTGTGCTACAATGTAGAGGTCTAAAACCAACATATTTGAACTACTCCAAATCAAGCATTAGTATTTCTGAGAGTCAAAAAGGTTGTATTTTCATTAGCGGTCAGCTGGGACTGTAAACTACATGAATAAAATAGATACTCATGTTCCTAATACTTTGACAGTCCTAGAAAGAACCAGTAATACATAACTTCTCTTTCCCTGTTGATAAAAGCTGTATTGCCTTCTGTAAATTCCTCTCAATAAATATCATTGTTGTCTCAAACAATACAATTATTTGCCCGAACATGGTGCTGGAGGAAATCTATTCAGAAGCTGAATCCTGGTAAATTTGGGTACGGTTTTCAATCACAAAGTCCCAACATAGACGCAGGAAGCTCCTGCCTTAATTGTTCTTCCATGTCCATTGTAACTGCATTATCCAGCCCCCTTTTTTGGATAAGTTTCTTTCCATTCCTTCTTGGTTCTTGATGTTGGTGAGAATCTAAGTTTGTAATTTGGCTGGACACCAATTAAATACTGTAGGATATTAAATCATAAGAAGTTTTTGACTTATTTTTACCAAAAAATACTGATTTGGCTAGACATTTTTCACAATCTAGATACTCTGTTAGTCATATATTTTTTTAATTGACCTCCAACTAGCCTGCAAAGCTTGTTTTCCTCTTCACCTATTGAATGCTCAACGAAAAGATCAAGAATTATGTGGAGATGCGCAAGAGCTGCTGTTTGTTGGACATTATGGGAGGAAAGAAATGCAAGGATCTTCTCGGAAAAGGAGAGAGGCTTGGAAAATATGGTTGAATTGATTCATATAAGAGTAATACACTGGCTGAAGACAATGAAGGAATTCACAGATTTTTCAGCAAATGATTTGCTAAGTGGAAAAAAGATGCTAGCTCAGTTACAAGGAAGAAGAATTTGAATCTCATGTGGAACCCTCCACCTCCTGGGTTTATCAAACTAAATTTTGATGGCAGTAGCATGGGGAATCCAGGGCCTTCGGGTATTGGGGGGTCCTAAGGGATGAGAGAGGTAATGTAATAGCTTTGTTCTCTAGTCCAATTGGAGTGGGAGACTCCTTGAGGGCTGAGGTGTTAGCAATGTTGGAAGGGGTGCAAAGAGCCAAAGAAATTAAAGTTAAGAAACTGATTATAGAAGGAAATTCTGCGGTTGTTGTGGATTGGCTGAAAGAAGACACTTTCAAGATGTGGAGCTACAGCAATGAGAAAAGAAAATTCAAGTGGCTGATTAAGGATATGAAAGTCCTATGTACTAGGGTTAAAAGAAATGCTAATTCCTTTGCTGATGGATTGGCTARGCAAGGAGTTTTTAGAAATTCTGGGTTTTGGGCTCAATTGTAAGGTTTTGAGTGTTTAATTCAGATGTATTTCTGTTCTGGGGAGTTAAGATTCTTTAGCTCCTCTTCCCTGTAACTTTTTTCCAATATTAATGAATTCTGTGGTTATTGATAAAAAAAAAATATATTTTTTAATTGACCGAGTAATATTTCCTGTAACGAAGCATCACCATGTATCTTATTTATTGTATTTCATAGCTTGTTAACTTCCTTATGCCAAATAAAGAATAGGTTGTTGACCTGAGATTAGATATCTTGGTTCGCTTTAACCATATTCTCTTTACAATAAAAACATACTTAGTTTGAAAGTTGAATCATAGCCCTATACTCTTATAACTCGAAATCAAACAAATCCATTTATTGTGAATTATGCAACAAAAATTGGATTTATCTCCAGAAAATCTATTGTCACAATTAAAAGCAGGTAAGTTTTATGCAGTTCCCTTTGGATTGCTTGAATTCCAAGAAGATGATGATATTTCATTCGGATGCACACGCCTACCTCCACTACCAAAAGAGAAGAAAAGGATTGGGTTGGCAGGGAAATACCAATTAAGTTCAAATCATTATCACAACTATCAGGCATGCCAAATCTCCGGTGTCCTGATGATGAAGCAGCAATAGGCAAAAATGGATGGAAAGAGAAACCATTTACAGTATCTGTGCATACATGTAATGAATGGGTTAAAAATAGGATGCAACATAGGAAAAATGCACACAAATATAGACAACAAATGCCCATTTCTGATATTGAAGCAATTAAATAGGCATACCATATGCAGCTTGAAAGCTTGCTACCCATTGTCCAGTTTGAAGATCATAAATGTGAACCTGACCATCCTGGAATCATAGTGACGAAATAAATTGATTTTACATCTGTTGCTTAGAGTTATTTGGTTTCACTTTATTCTGCTCAACAAGATAGACAAGATACTACCTGCCCACCTGTACCAAGATGATGACCACAGGGCTCGATATCAAATAATATCCGCTGGTTTGTTTGCTCTGATGATCTGTATAACCTGATTGAATGGGCCAATGAATTGACAAAAGAATGTAAGAATTTCAGACCTGTATGGAGGAAACTGATTACCACTATTTCATTATATGCTTGCATTAAACATGCATTAATCAAAACAGAACATTATATAGGTCATACCCTTGCCTTAATAAATGAATGCATATTTAAGATGATGACTGCATTGTACAAAATCAGCAGTTCCTGTTGCAAAATTACACTACAATCTATAGAATGATAAATTCCTATTTTCAACACCCACACATAACAAAGGTTTACTCTAATTGAGATGTTCAATCTGGAGGATAAAGATCTAGCTTCCCTAATCTAGTCTCTGAGAATTCAATCACCATGGGAAGTTGGGAACCATCAAGCATAGTGATGCAGGAGCTGAAGAGGAAAAATTGGAATTTTATGAAATTTTATGCATTTCTGTATTTTTGGACAGTAAGGATATTTTTGTCATTTTGCAATTTTCTGTGGGGTCCAATGATAGGGTTTAATTTGTCTATTTATAGTTTGTTTATGTTTAAAATTTCAGAGGCATTGCATAAGTAGGATTAGAGTCGTTGAGTCTTCTTTGAATTGAAATAGGATATGACAGCTTAGTTTGAGTCCTACTAGGATTATTGAGTCCAACGGTTTGACTCCTTAGAATATTATGAGTCTAACAGTTTGACTCCTTAGACTATTATGAGTCTAATAGTTTTCACTCCTAGGGTTATTATGAGTTTAGAGTCTATAAATATGTATGGACGTTTTAGACAAAGGCAATGGAGTTTATTGAGTTTTCTTCAACTTATGCTAGCTATGGTGAGAAATTCCCATGCCCTAGAGTGATTCTAGGCACCCTGTGAGTGATTCCAGGTATTTTCTCTCTTCTTTCTCTCCCTATTTTCTCTCTTGTTCCTTCAAGAAGCCATTACAGCCATCAACAGCCATAAAACTCTGATCAAGAAGACCATTCAACATTCTCTAAGGACTAGAACTGAGCTGGTCCTACGTCAATTTGGTATCAGAGCTAATGAATTATTCACTCTGTTCTCACAAAGTGACCAATTCTATAGGCCTAGGGTATCTTCTAAACAATCTTACAGGTCTAGAATCAGTGATGATTGGGTTTCTGAACCATATGAAGGGTCTTTGGTTGACTTATTTGAGAAGATGGTGGAAGGAAACAGATCTAATAATGTTGGCTACGGGAGTAAGGTTTTCAAACATGTTAGGAGAGAAAGGGAAATACTAGATTTCAAAGGAGATGATGATCCGCAAGCATTCTTTGATTGGGTTGTTGAACTAGAAGAATATTTTGATTGACATGATATGTTTGACAAACAAAGGATTAGATTTGCGTGCATGAAGCTAACAGGTCATGCTAAATTATGGTGGAGAACTCTTGAGCAACAACTAGAAAATAGAGGTGATGATCCAATTAGTACATGGGCAGAGATGAAGAGGTGTTTGCAAGAAAAGTACATCCCACTAGACTTCCATGATGGTCTATATATGGAGCATAGTTTTCAAGGTGCCAAGGTGAGGCTAGGTGATAGGGGGGCGCCTTGTCGCCTAGGTGGGCGCCTAGGTGATGGATTTTTTTAAGTAAAACCATATATCCTAGGGTAGTTCCCTAGGTTCCATAACCATCTTTCCTTAATAATTATTCAGAATTTTCATAAGAGAAGTATAAATTTCATGTTTAAGTCTACAAAATCAACATTTTATGAGAAGAAAAAGAACAAAGGAAAGAAAATTCAAAAAATATAGGGGCTGAACCCCTACTTTTGTTATAGGAAAGAAGAAAAGAAAAGGTAAAAGAAGATGTGGAAGAAGAAAATGTGTTGATTAGACAAAATTTTAAGTTCTTCCCTTGCTTATTGGTTCAAGTTTTGAAAATTGAGGGTTCAATCAAGGATCAAAATTTCGATACAATACACCCCGTATTGGGTGTATTGTATTGTATCTTTGGGGTCCCAATAGACCTGTTTACAGGTGTTTCCGGGAACCCATTTTTTTAAATAATATATATATATATATATATATAAATAGGGGAAGGTGTATTGATACTTTGAACCATGGGTTCAATACAGCAGTTAGCAATGTTTGAATTGATGAAACTCTAACAAAATAAGAAAATAATAAAAATGAATTAGTATATAAACACATAAAATGAATATTCTAGTTTAATAATGTCTATTTTATAACTATAATGTTAAAAAAATAAAAATGTAAAAGTATTTTATAACCCAGTGCAGAAAACTGCTTGGCGACTGGGCGAGGCGAGCCTCCAAGGGCACCTTGTCGCCTAGGCGTCGCCTTGACAACTATGATATGGAGCTAACTAATTTCGAGCAAAAGAAGAAGCAATAGGTTACAACAAAGAACTTGAAGTCAAGGGGAAGAAGGTACAAAGTTGAAAAGAAAGTAGATGATTCCTTGCATGTTGACGTCTATCCTAGAGCTGAAGTTGAGAATGAAGCTAAAGAAGAGGAATTTCAAGCTATAGAAGTTGTAGATATTAAAAATCAAGAGGGTGCAGGCCAAGAAAAATAGAAATTGCTAGAATTTCCAACACCCATGATCAGCTTGAGGTTAATGATCAAGAAGAAAATGGAAGTGGAGAAAGTTAAAGAAATTCAGGTGCAAGATACAAATGTGCTAATTGTAGTAGATCCTGGTAAGGAAGTAAGTGACTTTACCTTTCAAGTTCAACTAGAACCAATTCAAGAATTACAACCTGACATAGCACAAGTTCCACCAACATCAACAATGGAAGGAGTCCTAGAGATTGTTGAAGAACCAAGGATAGGAAAACACATAGAGATGGTGATTCCTAAGCTAGAGGTTGAAGGAAAAGTTCCAGTTGAAAGTTTGGATAAGCAAGGGGAAGATTCATCACAATCGCTAGTTGATGAATCAAGTGTTCAAGAAACTAATGTTATTGGTGATCTAACAAAGATGGTTATGGAGGGTAGTGTTTCTGAAATACATTTCTTTCAAGATCCTTCTCTAGTTCTGTGTGTGGGCTCTACTCTACAGTCCGAGCATGTGCTGTGGGAAGTCCTACTCCTTTTGTAATTGGGGCATATCAACTTTTCACCCTCAAGTTCTTCAAAACTCGAGGATGAGTTTTTTTGAATTGGGGGGGAATGATGCAGGAGCTGAAGAGGCAAAATTGGAATTTTATAAAATTTTATGTATTTCTGTATTTTTGGACAGTAAGGGTATTTTTGTCATTTTGCAATTTTCTGTAGGGTCCAATGATACGGTTTAATTTTTCCATTTATAGTTTGTTTATGTTTAAAATTTCAGAGTCATTGCATAAGTAGGATTAGAGTTATTGAGTCTTCTTTGAATTGAAATAGGATATGACAGCTTAGTTTGAGTCCTACTAGGATTATTGAGTCTAACAGTTTGACTCCTAAGACTATTATGAGTCTAACAGTTTCACTCCTATGGTTATTATGAGTTTAGAGTCTATAAACATGTATGGACGTTTTACACAAAGGCAATGAAGTTTATTGAGTTTCCCTCAACTTATGCTAGCTATGGTGAGTGATTCCCATGCCCTAGAGTGATTCTAGGCACCCTGTGAGTGATTGCAGGTATTTTCTCTCCCTATTTTCTCTCTTATTCCTTCAAGAAGCCATTACAGCCATCAACAGCCATAAAACTCTGATCCAGAAGACCATTCAACATTCTCTAAAGACTAGAACTGAGTTGGTCCTACATCACATAGCCTATCACGATCTGGGAGTCAGCCTAAACAAATTAATCAAGAGAAAATATCCACAGTTCTTGAAGCAAGGGTAATATCTGAGCTCTAAAGGAATTTATTATCAATGGAACCCTACATGGTCTCTGAAAACTTCCCCAATGCTTGAGAGGCCTGGATTGCCCAGAGAAAAATCACCAAAGTAGAGCTTTGGAGCTCCCTGTAAAAGAGTGGTCCACAGATGCAAGTAGCTTGCTTGTACAAGGAAGAACTTGCAACTGCCTACAATCCTCTTAACCATAGAATATGCAGAACAATAATTCAATATTTGAAGTTGTCCCTATAGTGAAAACCCAATGGGAAGCCTTGATGGTAATGAGGTCCTATCACAAGCTCAGCCTTGTGTTTCTCATCAAGACCCTAGTTTTCTTCTTTTCCCCCATATGCTCCATGCCATAGTTGCTTTGGTGGATCTCTATAGTCTTCTCCCTCCCCATGGCAGGAAAGGAAAATTAAACTTAGAAATGCATCTAATATCATGCAGGTACAGAGGCATTAAAAGGTTTTTCACAACAGATGAAGAAAGGGCTAACAGTTTCCCTATTTATCTTGCAAAGAATGCATAAATCATGGGCCAATTTTCATGACTTGTGCCTTTTGTGGAACATTTACAAGTATTGATCTTTATAACTTCATGGTGTATTGTATTGCCTTGCCTTTTGGCAGTAGCTCTCTAGGTGGAACTAGACCCAGTCATCTAAATCCAAGGAAAGCATGGAGTTCAAGGTGTTATCAACAAGAATTTTAAATGAAAAGGAAAACAAAAAAGATTAAAAGACTGCTGACTGCCCAAACTCTGCTCAAAACCAGATAGATTTGATTAATGGAGACGTCTAGAAGGGAGTTTAAGAAAGAAATAGAATTTTGATAGTTGCAGTCTAGAAAATCCTAGAAAATCAGGGATTGGAGGTGTATTCAGGAATCAGGATGGCTTTTCTGGAGCACTTGGTTTTTGTAGAGATAATGGGCTGAATGGGCCTTAGTTTCTTTGTTTTTTCTTTATGTTTATGACTTGTGTTAGTAGGTAGTGGGCCTTAGTTATGGACCTGTTTTCTTGTTTTTTATTGCTGTCTTTAGTGATGGATGCCCTACTAAGGGCACTGAGGCACTCATGTAATTGTCCTTATTTTTTACAACAAAAGAATAAAAGAGATCATTGGGGGCTGAAGAGGGGTCTTAGAACAACTCTCTCTTCTTCTTCCTTTTCTTCCATCTTCTTCCTCCATCACTTCTCTCTCTTCAATCTCCTTTTCTCCTATTTTTTTCTTCTAGTTCAGATTATTGCAGGTGTGCTTTACAACTTTTTTAGCAACTCAATTAGAGCTGAACTACTGGCATCTCTTCAAGGCCTTAGACTGGCAAGAACATCAGATTTCTGGGAGCTAATTATATAAGGTGATCAAGTATAATTTTTGCTTGGCTGTCAGGCACTGGAGAGGGACCTTGGAGGCTTAGAAACATGATTAGAGAAGCAAGATCTCTATTTTTTCTGATCATAAAATGAAAAAAAAAAAAAAGAAAAGCAAGATCTCTAGTTTCAGGTTCACATATTTGGCTACCCACATCCGCTAACTCAGGTGCAGATTCTTTGGCTAGAAAAGATGCCAATAGACAGTCCCTGGTTTGGGGCACCCTCTGACCTGAGCTTGAACGCCTGTATAACATGCAGGGGAGCAGCAAAGGGCTTGCTCCATTTGACCAGATTGTACTCATTGTATTGATACTATATATAATATATTTACTATATTTTCTGTCTTGCAATCAATTTATTGTAATGAATAAACAAGAAAAAGAAATTACATCTAGGGTTTCATAATCTCTAAGAAATCAAAGCCCCCATAGGGGCATGCAGGAATATTCATAAACAGAGGAATGTAGTGGCATTTTTAAGAATTGGTGTAGAGCCCAGGAGTCTAATGCAAAGGAGGGGGTGTCGCCACGCAGATCCATGTTCCATAAAGATCCTAATCCATACAAAAGGATTGAACCGTTGACTTCAAAGGGTAAACCCAGTATTGCATGGATTCTCCTAAATGGATGATGTGTCCATGTCAGACACGAATCAGAGTCCACCACTTCAAAGATTCCTCAGGACACTTCTATGTAACATTTCCTCTTTATTTCCTAGTTTATGTGGCATAAATAAACAGCTAATGTACAATTATACAATATAAATGCCATGTCTCATATTAAAAATTACTTGGTAACAAAGGCAACATTTTAAATCCCTTTTCTACAGTTAGAATTCAAAAATATGAACTACTTTAATAATATATACTTTTCCATAAACATGTCCGCAAGTCCATGTTTCTTATTTTTTCAAGACAGACTCTTGGATACATGTTGAATTCCCAACTCCAGTGTCCATGTCCATTCAACAACGAGCAAACCAAGGTAACCGTCCTTGCAGATCACACATCTCACCCAGTTTGCCTCCAAACCATAAATAATTATGACTAGGAGCAAGGACCATCAGCACATGAATATGGATCATATGTAATGGACGAAGGGCATGTTCATTAGTCTGCTTTTGGATAGAAATCCCATTCTCAAACAGTACCCAAGACATACTACTAAATAGCACCCTCGACATACTACTAAATAGCACAAACAAATCCACCAAGGCATTGATATACCCTGAGCTTCAAAGAGTACCAATGTCAAGGCACAAACAAATCAACCAGCCGCCATCGACATACTACTAAATAACACTGATTTACTTCTCCATCCTCTACCCTATCTTTTTTTTAAATGAAATTATTTTCATTGGAATTTGTAATATCATTTCACAACCATTGCCACCAATGTCATCTAGATAACAAACACCATCATCTTGGTAATGCCCGTTCAACCCAATTCAATGTAAGGACAAGAACAAAAGCATGAATCACCCTCATTGTTGAGGCTCCTTCGGTCCCTAAACATCTGAAGAAGCTTCTTACCTACCACAATCTTCCCCTCAAGCTCTTATAAGAAGCACATCTATCACATTTTTCATGGCTCATGTCTATTCAACAAGTAGAGTGATGTTGGATCCAGTTAATCAAAAATATAGCCATTTTTTAAATAGTTTTCGTAATCATATTTTACAAAAATAGATTGTTGAATGATACAGGATGGATTAGAAAGGAATTTTATGTGGATTATCAAAATTTACTTGAACTTAATAGTTCTTTTTTACATATTGTATACAAAATATTCCTATTGAATGCTTATACAAGTGGGAAACAAGAAAACATAGGATTAGGAATGGACATATTCATGGAAAAGCTTGTACAAGTGGGAAGACTATCTAAGGCGAAGAAATGGTCCAATGCAAGTTGAGTGGTCTACAAGAGCTAGAGACAGACCAAAAAGGACATGGGTTGAAGGCTTCAAGTAATGAAAAATGCTTTTTTTTTCTTGATAAATAATGAGAAATGATTTGAAGCTCCATAGTTTACAGAGACCACCATGCTAGAAATGCATCAATCCCCCAGCTTTGGTGTTCCAAAAAAAAAAACACAGTTCCTGGTTACTCCATCTCTTGCGAGAGCATCAGCTAAAGTTTTGGCTGATCAAGGTATCCACTTAAACAAGCAGTTCAAATTGTCAGGCCTTCAAGAGATCATGATGCCAACAATAAAGCTTCTTGATCGCCAGATGGAGTGCCCAAGAGCCTCCATTTTTCTTCTCCATCCAGCATATCACCACTCTGCAGTCCCCTTATACAATCAGGGTTGATCACCTCAGGAAGCAGGCTATTGTCAGGCCTTCAAGGAGTTATGAATCTCAGCTCTCAAGTAATTACCAACACTTATCAGTCCTGTGAAGCTCTCAAAGATGTTGCCATTATGATCTCTTACTTCATTCCATATTCCTGAGGGCACTGGATTGCCAAGAGAGCACCCATTACAGTTTAATTTTAATCTCCCAATCTCCAGAGCTTTCCAAATGGTAGTGACACAATTTTCTTTAGGCAAAACTTGGCATGGAAGCCCATCCCTTTAGAATATCATCCATCTATAGAGCTTTAAATTCTTTTCTTGTGAACATCCAGTAAGCTGTCTTCATCATGCAATTCTCTATTATGGTGTCTTCCTCTTTAGCTTTATTGTCAAAGATTCTTGATTTATCCAACTATTCTTATATATAAGCACTTTCGTATGCCGAAAAAAAGAACTAAGAACTGTGGAAAATCACAAAATTCATGCACATCAATAAGAATACACCATATCAACAACAAAAATCTCCCAGAAACTAGGCATTTGATTTGGGTTTGGAATTATCCATGAGAATATACATTACACATTAATGTTTTAGAAAGGAATCAGACATAAATTATTGTTAAACCCTTTTTCCAAAACCTTTTACTAGACTAATAATGACTAATTCCGGAGAAAACAATCATACTTGTACACAACATCAAGTGTATTGCGTATATCCCAGCAGTATATATAAGGATCCTGCAAGGAATTCAAAAACAAGTCAACAGAAATTTATGAGATAAAATATGCACAGCGGAACACATCAACCATCCATCCACGCAAACAGGATTACTCAGAAGAAAATGAAAATGATAATAAGTAGTTCTGTGTAGACATCATAAGGATAAGGTACTGGGGCAGTAAAATCTAGGATGAAGAAAAAAGTGTTAATCAATTGATAGTCAGATGATACAGTACATTGTAATCTTTGATTAAATCAGTGAATATCAGATACTCAAAATATGTCAGTAATCACTGCCATCAAATTTCAACCTTCCTTGCCCACTTAGCAAATCCATACATTTTGATCCTGTCAGTTCTTTATAATCATATTGATGACCATTCAAAGAGGTACAGATACTTAGATATCTGCCAATGTAAAAGGGCTTGGAGAACTTTATGCATCTCAAGTAGTAGGTCCCACTCTTAGCAGCTTGCTTGTATAATTCATTTTCTTTAGTCTCAAGATTGGCCCATGGATTCTCCTGTTCAAAATAGGGTATCTTTTTTTTTTTAAATAACGCCTCCGTCTTACCTGTCTAATTTATTTACCTCCTGTTTTTTCCCTTTGAACATCTTGCTATCTCATCTTCTTTACAACAAATTTTCATTTTCAACATAAAGAAAAGTTCTTAAGCAAGACTAACTGAATGAGGAGGTGTGAAGCCCAAGCTCTGATGAAGAGGCTCCCTTTCCTATACATCCTTGCAGAAAACAGGGAAGCAAAAATAATTGATTCATGTGAACTGAAGAAGGAGGTTGTCTTGTTTCCCGGTTCTCAACTCTAAGGAGTCTGAGTGATTAGGGAATAGAGGAGATTGTGTCTTACCTATCTAATTTATTACCTCCTGTTTTTGCCCTTTGAACATCTTGCTATCTCATCTTCTTTTCAACAAATTTTCATTTTCAACATAAAAAAAAAGGTCTTAAGCAAGACTAGCTGAATGAGGCGGCGTCCCAAGCTCTGATGGAGAGGCTCCCTTCTCTATACATCCTTGCAGAAAACAGGGAAGCAAAAATAATTGATTCATATGAACTGAAGAAGGAGGTTGTCTTGTTTCCCGGTTCTCAACTCTAAGGAGTGAGTGATTAGGGAATAGAGAAGATTGTGTCTTTACTAAATCTGCTTAGCATAACATTTCCAAATCCAGATCAAGATGATTTGAGAAGCTGGAAATGGGAGAAATCTAAGATATTCTAGGTTAAATCTATGTACAAGCAGTTGGCTAATGATCAATTTTCAGCCTCCCCCACAAGGAAGTTTGGTTATCCCATATTCCTTCCAAAGTGGCCTACTGTGGTCTGTGCTGCTAATAAATGCCTCACTAGGGACAATTTAATAACAAGAGGGGTAACATCCAACCAGAAGCTTGTGTACTTTGTGGGAGAGACAGAGAAACCCCCATGCATTTATTTATTCCTGCAATGTACAATGGTGAATCAGATTTGTTCCTATTTCAGTAGCTTGTTTAATCTTTCTTGGTGCTTGCCAGAAAGGTTCCCAGACCATTTGTACTACTGGAAAGTGAAAGGACTAAACAAAAAAGGAAGAAAAACCATGGAGTACTATTCCTGCTGCAGTGTCGTGGTATATTTGGAAGGAGAAGAACCAGAGAATATTTCAAAATCAAAGCTGTTCAGTGGATGAGTTAATCAAAAAGATATTGGGTTCCACTCATTCTCGGCTGGCTGCTACCTGCTATGGATCAGTTCAGCAATCTCTCCCACCAAAGCTTTTTTGGCCCTACCACTTTGTTTTTGTAGTTCAGGCAAGGCTGGAGCAGAATGAATATACTTTGTATAGTGGTAAAAAAAATATGCCTTTTAGAATAAAGAAATGACAAAAAAAAATTACATCTTCAGCACAAAGGAAACCCCTTAAGAAAGAAAAGAGGTTTGATGTATAAATCTTTGTATAGCATGGATGTCCAATATGTTGAATGACACAACTCTTCAAGTAAAGATAAAAGGGTAAAAGATGAAAAGACATTTAAATTTTGATTTTTTTATCATACTTCTTTGAATGTCTTAAGTCAATGAATAGATTTGAAGATTAAAATATCTGGGCAACCATTGTTTCCACACATTGATATTATATGATAATACTATAATATTCTGATTCAAATTTTAGGGTAAAATACAAAAACCTCCCCTGAAGTTTCTGACAACCATAAAAACCTCCCCTATGGTTTTGCTTTAGCAAAAACCTCCCCTTTTTTTTGAAAAAATCGGCAAATACCTCCCCTCCATCAATGACCAAGACGGAAAACGTTAAAATGATGATCATTTTTTCAAAATACCTATTTTACCCTTTTACGAATTAATGTGCATCTATTTTCACTAAAATACCTCATTTAACTAATCAGAAATACTGTTCACTGTCATCAACATCCCGAATACTACCTTTTACAGTTGCTTTCTGACTCTCCTCGTCCCCAGTTCCCTCCCTCCCTCTTACTTCTTTTTCTCAGTTTCCTCTTCTCTTTCTATTCAGCTGCTGCAACAGCGAAAGGGTTGATAAAAAGAACGCAAAGAGATCCCGATGGGAACTGGGAAGGAGAAGCAATACATGTAGCTGAGAGAGGGAGAGGGAAAATGTAGAACAAGTCTCCAATATTTCCGAAGCCGGAGCCTCAGCATTTCAGCGACTACGGCTTCAACCCCCAAATCAATTATTTTCAGGTCATACTCTCTTTCTGTTTGTTTCTATCATTGTTCCCCCTTTTTCTTAATCTTCCTTTTCAGATCTTCCTACGATACTTAAATGCATTTATTTTCTGTGTTTTCTGAAAAAGAAGATCTTAGAAGAAGCCCGGAAGCACAAGTGGGACAGTTTCAGATCCGTGGATGCTCTGCATTTCAAACTACAGAAGCCCATCTCAAAAGAAGACTCGAAAAAGAGCAAGAAGAAGAAGAAGAGGTGGTGGAGAAATGCTCTCCTTTTCTGGAAATGAAAGTGAACCGATGATGCAAGGCTCAATGATGGCCAGACGGTGTCTACCGCAGGAACCAGGTTTGCAGGGGAGCAGTATCTGGGCCACTACATAACAGAGAGCATAAGCGGGTCAACCACACCATGCTGGACGAGCTGTTGTCCGACGTCGGGACTGCTCACCGGCACATCGACTCCGACATGTAAGGGGAAGGTGGAGATACCTTATCTCAGCCTGAGAGAGCTCAATATAGAGCAGCAGCAACCACACCATCGGTTCTCAACGTCAGCCATGCCTATCTACTTGGTCACTTAGCCTCTTAACCGAATACTGATTACTGGTTGGGTGCTGGGGCCGGGAGGGGGATTTTCATTTTGGGTTACTGTAGCAACTGAACTCCTGGTTTGACTTGGTTCACTTGTCTCTTTTGTTTCATGGTAGTCGTAGGCAGCAGGCGGAGTAAAGTTGGGAGTTGCAGCTGCTGCCATGTCGGCAGCAGCAACTGCAACTATGGCAGGATCTAAATGGTGAATTTAATGATGCTAGCAAGTAGGATTAACAGTGTAATTGACAAAAGGGTAAATATGTAAGTATACATGCCTTCCGTCTTGGTCATTGACGGAAGGGAGGTATTTGTCAATTTTTTTAAAAATAGAAGGGAGTTTTTTGATAAAGTGAAACTATAGAGGAGGTTTTTGTATTTTACCCTAAATTTTATGGTCTGGATGTGAAGCCAAGGAATGTATCGACATTATATAGTAAAGACAAGTTTTCCCAGGAGTAGTACAACAAAATAAAACATCTGACATCACTGAACTCCCATTAACCAATTTGATGGTGCAAAATGTGTGACCATACATGTAATGTAGTGTTGCTAAACTATAACGTCATACAATCTTTCCTCCTAAAAAAGCATTCTGCTACATGCACTATTACTAATTATCCTCACCACCATCAACATCCTTGTTGTCATCACTATCATGATCTTGGTTAACTATTAATAATTAATTATCATCATCACCATTACTATTATTATAGAAAAATGAAATTAAGAAAACACTTTTTCATCAGTAACCATGAAAATCTTGTATTAAAAGATGATAAATGGAAAAAAAAAAACCTATCGTATCCTGAAAAAGGATAGAGACAAGTGAACGGAATTAAGACAAACATGGTGCTTTGAACTTTTCTTTATTGGTAACAAGGAACTTATTCATTGAGATAAAAGAATATTATGTACACATATTACAGTTAGTAGATGCTCGGCTAGCCCTTGCTAGTTGCTGCTCTATTTATCCATAATGATGCTTTAAGCTTTACCTTTCGACCTCCAGTATATAAATAGTTTCCATCTTTTGAGAATTGAACCTGAAGAAAAGACATGATAAATAGTGTGTTTATTCCAGAAAAAAAACTCTCCCCAATTATTTTTCTCAAAATCAAATAATTGGCAATATAATCACACTTACATGTGTAACCCCACCTTCTTGGCCATGCAAGATATATAAAAGTTCCATATTATCTTCACTATAGATTGCAGTAGTCTGGCTGTAAGAACCTGTTGCAAACATCCCAGTATGAGCAGGGCAAAAGGCAATTGCTGAAATAATACCTGCATGCAAAACAAAATCCACATCTTAGTAATTCTCCTGATTAAAAATGAGAATTCGATGCACACTCTATCTAATCAAGCATGTGATAAAGCAGTCAATAGATATAATTGAAAATTTGTTATGTTATATAGCAGTCTGTCAGCAAAACACTTTCATGCAACAGAAACAGAAGCACAAAAGTTCAGTATAAAAAGAGAGGTCCCAATGATAGTCCTCCTGTCCTTTAAAAAAATGTTCATGCCATATCTCTTAAATCAGTGTTTGTGATCATCTAACAGAAAGGATGTTATTCTCATAGTTAAAAGTTCTGTGTTATTGAATCATGAGATGAATGCAACAAATTGCTTCAAATCTTAAGGGATATGCAATGGTTTCAGTGATCACATTGATTTTTTTTTATTTATTAGTAAAGTAAAGCATTTTTATTAATAAAAATGAGTACAAGAAACAAGCCGATTGCACTAGAAAAAATAAGCAGGTGCAGCAGAAGCCCATTATATGGAAATCCCTTATATACAAGATATTTATAAAATAAAGTCAACATACATAAGTATGGCTGCAAGACAACTGGATCTTGATCACACCTCCCCTAGCTAGGTTGTCAGAAATTAAATGCAGTTGAGACTTGGGAACTTGAGTGGGTGCCATTAAACCACAATGACTGCCCAAACATGATAAGAGGAACTTTAACAAAAATCTAGAGATAAATTTGGGAATTAAAAATAAAAAGTTAAGGCAAGTAACTTGGTCAAGAATAACTTGTAAAAACCAATGATCCACTCTGCAAGTAACTTGATAGCATATGGGACTAATATGTCCTTCCTCATCATACTCTATCTGGTTTAAGTCTTGGACTTGCTACCAACCCAGAAGACAGTATCTGTATTAAGAACAAAATCACAATGGGAGATTCTCAGTCAAATCAGCATGGAATGTAGGCGGGTAAAGCTCTAGCTAGGATGGTTTGGATTCTAAATGTTTTGCTCCACAGATTTATGGCTATAAGCAAGCAATATTGAATAGAGCATATCCAAAGGAATCAGGAAGCAACATATCCAAAAAATGAGTTGGCAGAGATGTGAATTCTGAGAATGATGAGTGAGAAAAATAGAAAAAAATAAGATTAGACCATTAGAAATAATCATATTCATGGAAATCTAGAAGTAACCCTGATAAGTGGTAAGACGAGGAAAAGTAGACTAAGATGATCTGTTCAGGTGCATAAAAGACCATCTATAACACCAGTAAGAAGAAGTGATCTATTGCAAGTAGAAGGGTCTAGAAGAGCTAAGGACAGACCGATAAAAACATGGATCAAAGTAGTGAGGAATTATCTGAGGGCCCATAATTTAACAATAGACATGGTTTTGCATAATACATAGAACAGAATTAATGCAGCTAACCCCATATAGTTGGAAGTTGGAACAAGGATTTATTGAGTTGAGTTGAGGCTCTTGTAAAATTGAAATGATAGACAATCCATTTCTCCATTATTCAACATCTTTAATCTTGTAAGAAATAAGGAAGCTTTAATTAGTGAGCTGGCCATGGCTTCTCAGCAGGGATGAAGTTGGGCACTGGGCTTGGGATGGAGGTTGAATGATTGGGAGACGAATAAGATGGCAGAGACGTTGGAGAGGTTAGAACATGTGCAAGTGCATGGAAAGCAGACAGATCACAGGATTTAGGTTTAGGGACCAATCTAACCACTTCACTGCAAGATTTCTTGGCCAGAAACTGATTCTTTCTCATGTCTCAGCCTTACCTAGGATAGGTGTTTGAAAAATCGTAGCTCCATGTAGGGCATCTTTCTTGGCCAGGACAATCTGATGCCTGACTAGACAAGCTGATAGCAGAGGAGATAGGTAATCATCTTTTCATCCATTGTAATTATAGTAGACAGGTGTAGCTGTTCTTGGAAATTTTTGGAATGAGTTGGCGCTTCCTGGAATCTACTGGACAGGATAAAGGGATAGTCAGTACCGAGTTTGAGTAAGAGAGGCAAGCTGGTCTGGAGGGTGGTAATCTAGGTATTGTGGAAGGAAAGAAATGGGAGAATTTTTGAAAACAAGAAGGCTTCAGTTTAAGTGGTTGTAAGGAGAGTGAAAGGTGCTGCAATTTTTTTTTTATGAGTAATAGTAAATTTTATTAAATCATAACCTGATTTAGAAGTGTAATTTTGTACAACAACCCACGGAGAGGCACGAGCTGCAGCCCCTCCTAGAAGCTTACAAGTACACTAAAATAAATTACAGAAATCACAGTTGAGCCCAAAACATTTCCCTATTTACCCCTTGTTTGGCTAACACATCAGCCATAGCATTTGCTGATCTCCCCACCCATTGTATTCCATCTGGTGCTACAAGAATGAAATTAGGTGCTGTGATTTCCTGGATAGGGATTCACACAATTTTTAGTAGAGTACATAATCAAAGTTTTTTTTTATTCCTTGTATAGATATAACCTCTTGTAAATCTTTGTCATTCTTTTCCCATCAGTTTCTCACTGGGGAGCTTGATGTAATTTCTGGTGAAGTAATAGCAATACACTTATTCAAACAAACAAAAAAAAAAGATCTGCATCAGAAGGTACATACAAAGTTCTAATTACTACAAATATGTTATAACATTTGTATGAAAATAATGCAATGCAATTATCCTCTTATAACATTTGTATGAAACTAATGCAATGCAATTATCTTTACAAAGGTAACTAAAACTGCAGTTTTTTTCTTTATTTTTAGGTACCAAACTGAAGTAACTTGTGACTACCTCTCTGCCCATCTTTATTTCCTTTAAGTGTGGAATACTGTTCAAAATCTCGACCAGGGCGATGTATGTCAAATACTCTAATAGATCTGTCGTATCCAGCAAACAGTCTACAAAGAAATATGTATAAGAACTCTCAAAAGGAAAAGAGGAAAAGACAAAGAAAAGAAAGATGTGTCATCAGATCACAAGCATCAAGAGACACAAAAATTTGCATAAGTACTAATGTGAAATCTATTAGAAAGTGTATGCCCTTAGCTCCAATCATATTGATGTACATTATGTCATTTATTGTAAATATATAAAGTGCATAATTGATTCGTGTTATTATGGTGTGTTTCTGTGTTATACCCTTAAACTGGACACTTATGAGACTCGTGTTAATTTAGAATCTTCACAGCCGTTGGATAGATCTGGGGAGATTTATCCTACCAAGGCTGACACTGATGTGTTGCCATGTTGGTTGGGGTGGCTTGTCTCAACTGCTAGGGTGAGACCTGAGGTACATGTAGTGTGGGTTTTCTTGAAACCCTGAACCGGACTAAATTCCAGTATTGCCCTGGACCTTGGAGATAGATGGGCAAAACTGAAATGTTACACCTAACCCCTAGACTCGATTATGGTACTGCACTAGGTGTCGGATTGGGCTGTCTTTGATATGCCAATCGTGAGATCCTTAGAGGGGGTCAAAACCTGGGTATGTTAGGACAGCCCGAGAATTCACGTGAGTGGGTGATCACAGTGACAGATCAACCCCATTGTCAGACAAAGTGAATGATCGGGGAATGCACTCTCTCTGATGGAAACCTAAACTGCCGGCAGTGGATTTCAAATGTGTTTGAAATTTGGTTTTGCAAAATATATTTATATAAAGATATACTTATATATTATGGTTTCAAATTATTTGCAAAAAGGTTTTAATTCCCGAGATCCACATAAGTAGAGAGTGCAGCACTGTACCTTGCAGCCAAGGGAGAAGTCCTCTCTTGTCGGGCAGTGTTTGATCATTAAGGGCTGAGAGGTTAAGTGTAAGACCATTAAGGGTTATACATGATGGGCTGATCTTGCATCTGCCCACAGTCCTTGGGCCTTCATAAGATGGTTGGACCCAAGGACCATTTAGTGTAAATGTTGAGCCCATTAAGAGCCTATGGTGATGGACTCAGGGGTTCACTGTGTCCTACGGTGAATTCGGCCAGGCCTTGTAACTAAGGTTGGGTTGAACCCATGTGGCTGATGTGTAGATCAATGATAGAGTCCCACGCCATACAAAGAGAGCCAAGCTAACCAGCATTAAAAGGAAGTGAACATGAAAGCTTAATGGGCCTAAAGCCCATTTCAAATTGGGTTAATTGGATTAATTAATTAGGGGCAAATATGGGTATGGATCAGCAGATTAGGATAAGAGGATAACTCTTATCCACTTAAAGAGTCCATATCCAAATAAGATTTGGATCAGGAAGCTTCTAATTTGATTAGGAGTAGCTAATCTTGATTTGCAGATAAGATAAGGGATTATCCTTATCACTTAAAGAGTTCAGATCCAAATAAAGATTTGGATCAAGAAACTCCTAATCAGGTTAGGAGATTATCTCTTTAAGGGTTATATAAAGAGCAAGGTGGACCTGAAAAGATGAACACAGTTTGACTATTTCTACCTTTAGTTTTCTCTCCCTGCTCTTGTCGTCCTACCATGTTCGATCTCCATTTCTTGGAACTGATCAAGATTTGATCTTGATATTTTTTCTTGCTAGAAGAAACAATTATGAAGTTGTGCTTACTACCCCATTCAATTCTTGCTGAAGAATCAGAGGTTCTTGGTGAAGAACTACCTGCTGATCCTGCATCATCCTAAGCTATGTCATCTTCAGTGGAGGGAGGATTTGATACTCTTTGAGCGTGAACACCTGTGTTGGGAGGAGCATTTTTGTGTGGATTCCATATCAGGTATACCTCTCCCTAATCTTGGTTTCAGATTTGGTCTAGTTTGGTTACAAGAACGAACCTTGAAAATGCAGTTTTCTAAATTGGGAATACAATTCCCGGATGGAAGAAAAGAAATTTTTGAAATTTCGCCCAACCTTCCTAAAAGTTCGGCCATCCATATGATGGATATCCCATCCCTTCAAAATCTTGCTATAAATATTCATCAAAAAGTATCTAAATTATAAACTAAGGAGTGGAGAATGCATAAGTACAATGTAAACGATATAAAGTTTTGTGTTCCCATGTACAAGAGTCAGCACAAAAGCCACCAAAACATGTTCCATGACCACTATGACCATCATGATTCTTCAGCATAAATATCAAGGTGCTTAAGAGAGGCTGATCTAGAAGATCCCAATTCCCAATATCTATCTCCTGCCACAGTGTTTTCAGCATGAAGAAATACATGGAAAGTGGTCTATCTCCCTGTTTTGTATAAATCACCTGATTCCTTAACTGATAGGCTCTAACTACATTTTGTTTCTAGGAATAGGTTTCAATCACTACATCCCAAATTTCCTTTGCAGTACGTTGAGTGGGCTGATTTATGTTTAGTTTGTTTTCTTTTAAATTAAGTTGTTGGGCCTTGGGCCCATTAGTCTTTTATTTTTAAAAGAATTGTAAGTACTTAGTTGAGTTGCCGCCCTACTAGGGGCATCTTTGTAATATCCCATATTTAAGTTAATTATAAATAGAATGAGGGGCTGGCGGCTAGGGTTATGYATCACTATCCTAGTCGACCTTCTTCTCCTTTTCTTCTCTTTCCTCTATCTATTGCTGAAACCCCCAACTTTCTCCTCTTCCTTTCACAAGAAGCTTGGCCGAAATCAGCACCTAAGGCTTTCTACTTGGTATCAGAGCAGGTTGAAGGTTCTTGAAGAGATTCACTCTTGCAGCCCTAGATCGGCCAACTGCATGGAAATTTAAGAGGCTGATCGAAGCTCTCAGGTAAGCCCAGTTTTTGGATTTTCTTGATAGATCTGTATGCCTTGTAGCTGGTCTAGGGTTTTTCATCAGAATCAGGAAAAATTGGAGAAAGGGGAAGAGTCATGATTTTGTTGGACTCTTCAATTTTGACCTAGGTGGTGGCGCCCTAATTTTTTAGGATTCCTCTGGGTTTTTTGTAAGGGGCGATTCAAGTTCCATGTGGTTCAGAGGCTTCTAGAGAGGGACACAGAGATAGGGTCTAGGACACCAAAGGAGTGTCGTTGGTTCCTGAAGGTATTCTGTTTGTTCTTGCTACATTTTTTGGTTGTTTTCTATACCTCTTTTGAGACACATGGAGGGACACAGAGTTGAATATAAGCCCGGGAATGAAATGGGACCAGTGGGAGGAGGTGCTGGAGACCCCTTCGGAGCTGGGACCATTACTACAGTTAGGTTGGATGGTACAAACTACTTGGAATGGTCCCAATCTGCAAAGATGGCCATTGAGGCTCGTGGAAAATTGGGGTATATTACTGGTGAAGAGGTGAAACCCGAAACTGGCAACTCCCAGTGGGTGCAGGAAAATTATATGGTAATGACATGGTTGTGTAATTCTACGTTGCCACATATAAGTAAAAATTTTTTATGGGCAAACACTGCTAAGGAGATATGGGATGGGGTTGCAGAAACCTGTTCACAAAGGGAGAATGTTGCTAGGGCTTATCAACTGAGAAATCAAGTTATTGCCACAAGGCAGGGAGATAGATCTATTGCGGCCTATTTTTCAATCCTATAGACCCTGTGGCAGGAGATCGACCATCTAGAGACCTTTGCTTGGGAAACCACCAAGGATGCAGCTACCTATCAAAGATATTTAGAGAAGTATAGGGTGTTCAAATTCCTTGCTGGCCT